TGTCACACCCCTTAGCACCCCATAACAGCCCGTGGCACCCCACAGCATCCCGTGGCACCCCGTCGCACCCCATAGCACCCCATAACACCCCATAGCACCCTGTGGCACCCGTTAGCACCCCATAGCACCCCACAGCATCCAATGGTATCCTACAGCACCCTGCAGTGACTGTGGCACCCCGTGGCACCCCACAGCACCCCATGGCATCCCGTGGTATCCCATGGCACCCTATGGCACCCTGCAGTGCCTGGGGCACCCCAAAGCACTCCATAGCACCCCATGGCACCCCCATGGGCACCCTATGGCACCCTGCAGAGCCCAGGGCATCCCACAGTGCTCCATGGCACCCTATGGCACCCCACAGCACCCTATAGCACCCTGCAGTGCCCAGGGCACCCCACAGCACCCTATGGTACCCTACAGTGCCCAGCGCATCCCGTAGCACCTTATGGCACCCTACGGCACCCTCCAGTGCCTGGGGCACCCTATGACACCCTACGGCACCCTGCAGCGCCCAGGGCATCCCGTAGCACCCCACGGCACCGTATGGCACCCGTGACACCTCTCCCAGGGCTGACGGCAATGCCGGGAGCGCGACAGGCAGCAGCGGTTCCACCAAAGGGAACCCTGCACCCTACGGTGTCCCCTTCCCATCCCCAGGAGAGCCCGTGGACGTGCTGAAGATCCTCCAGCTCCACTCCCTGCCCGAAGGCGTCAAGAAGGTGCCGGGTTTCTGCTCCCAACGTGGCGCCGGCTCCGACGTCGCCTACCGGATAACGCGGCAGGCGCAGCTCAGTGCACCCACCCGGCAGCTCTTTCCCGGTAAGTGGGTGAAACCGGTGAAGGTTGGGGAACTGGTGAAGGTTGGGGAGGTGGAGATGGTTGGGGAGGTGGTGATGGTTGGGGAGCTGGAGATGGTTGGGGAGCTGGTGAAGGTTGGGGAACTGGAGATGGTTGGGGAGCTGGTGATGGTTGGGGAACAGGTAAAGGTTGAGGAACCGGTGAAGGTTGAGGAACCGGTGAGGGTTGGGGAACCGGTGAGGGTGGGGAACCGGAGATGGTTGGGGAACCGGAGATGGTTGAGGAATTGGTGAAGGTTGAGGAACCGGTGAAGGCTGAGGAACCAGTGAAGGTTGAAGATTTGGTGAAGGCTGGGGAACTGGTGATGGTTGGGGAACCAGAGATGGTTGGTAGGGCTCTCCAAGAACCCACCTCCGCCACGTTCAACTACTTCTCGCCCACCGCCCAGGGAAATTCCCGGAGGATTTCTCCATCATGGCGTTGGTGAAAGCCAAACCCGGCGTCCAGGCCTTCCTCCTCTCCATCTACAACCAGGACGGCATCCAACAGCTGGGCGTGGAGCTCGGCCGCTCGCCCGTCTTCCTCTACGAGGACCAACACGGCCGCCCGGCCCCCGAGGATTATCCCCTTTTCCGCGGCGTCGATTTGGCCG